AAAAGGATGTAGATACAGCAATGCATACCTAAATATGTCTATATATATATATACTGATATACAGTATATATATATATGTATATATATATACATATATTAGGGTCATACACCGTATTAATTGTTGGACTGTGCTTAGTACTCATCACTTGTGGCAAGGCCTGGTTTGAACGGATCTTGGAGGCGCAGGGAGGGGGACTTGGAAGTTGATCACGATGATTTCTCCGGATCGTTTTTCATCCTCTGTGAAGCATACCCTCTGGTAATTTAATGGGATTTTAATGGGATTTTATGGTGGTTTAATGGGATTTAATATGATATAGCCTCTGGTAATGACTCATAGCTATTGAAAATGGCCATAGAAATAGTGGATTTTCCCATTAAAAATGGTGATTTTCCATAGTTATGTTAGTTTACCAGCGGGTACTGATTGTCATGTCAGTCAAAGCCATCTGCTCTCTAGTAATGACTGACATGACAATGGAAAATGCACTATTTATAGACGATTTTCCCAGCTACAATCTCCTTTTATAGCGGATTACCCATTCCCATGTTTGATTACCAGAGGGTATATCCATGTTTCTTCAAAGCTAGTCGTAAATTGTGACACCATTCATCCCCCTAGTAGAGATTCAACCCCATCTAACATCTCTAACATTTTCGGATTATGATTTTCATATTGTGATAGAGAACTAAATGGATACTTCAATTTACAAATCAATATCGGAAACGGTCAAATCTGACATTTTTCGGAGACTCCAATAGAAACTCCCAGGCCGGTCATCATGGCCAGGCTGGATTGAAGCCCGGTATCTTCCCCTACACTTCGCTGGTCAGTGTGGATTCCTGGCCATCAAACAGCGGGATTGAATCCACAGAGTAGAGTTTCAACGTTACTTTTCATGTGGTTCTATACTGTTGTGGTTCACGCCAGAGGCCCAGGCGATAAAGGATCGTTGCATTAATTTGGGATAAGCAGAGACTTTCATGTCAATCACATCCCATGTTGTTTACTGCTTATTTCAGAGACCAGTTGGGGATAGAGGTGCATCCTCTTGTTTGCGCTAGCCGTTTTCTTAAACCATCCAATTATAGCCATGAGCTCTATTGAAGTCATTGTCCAGAGTCTTCGTCTTATGGTTCCATTTTTTGCTGTTTCTTCCCCAGGTTCCACCATGAGATGATTGGAATGACGAAACCTGCCCCTGTTTCAGGTGGCTTTCTCAGATTGAAGAAGCTGAAAGAGGCATAGGATGCTGCCTCAACGACAGGATTTTGGCCATGAAATGCCATGAAAGTATAGGAGTGCAACCAATTTTTAGCTGACTTCCATGATGATTCTTCCAGTGCTAAATAAACTCTGGTGATTGGAAGTCCTCCATTGACATCCCATGGTTATCATGGTATATCATGGGAACCCCAGAGAGGGATATAGAAAATGTGACATCACGACCATGATTGCCATTCGCATCCATGGGCTGTTGTGTATGAACATCAGTAAGGCTTAGTAAGTCTTCGATCATCCCATGGGCTGCCTTTGAGGGGCCCGGAAAGTTCAGGCAGAGGATTGGCTTCGCAAGTCCTTGGAGGCAGTGATTGGGAGGTAAGCCACAAGAAATGGGGAAATAAGGCCGTCTTTTGATGAGATCTGTTATGAAACACATTAAACAACCTAGTTTCTACGAGAAAATCATGGGAAAACCATCATTTGGATTATTTGGGCAGCCAGTGAAAATCAGTGAAAGAGATTGGGATCAAAAGCATGATCTCCTCATGATCCATGTTTTTCTTCGATTCACCCCATCTGGTGGTTCTTCAGAAGCCGGCTTCGTCAGATGAGAACCCCATCGGCTCATCACCCTTCAGCCACTGTGCCAGGCTGGACTTAAGTTGGGGGAGCTCAGCATTTCAGACCTCCGGTTTTGGACTTCAACTTCGACCCTGGAGCAACCTGAAAGAGATGGGAATAATGGATAATAATGGGAGATATGCTGGCCAAGAATTGGGAAAGTCGTTGCAGACTGGCCAAGGACTGCTCACGATCGTTCATGACCACCTAGAATTCCTGGAATGCGTGTCCGAGAACACGCAATTTGGTGGTGAATAATCCTCTGTGCTTATGCTGTCATTTAGTTTTATCATGTTTTATCATGTTATATCATGTTAGGTCCTAGATTAATGTCATGTTATTCACTCCCATTGAGCCGCTGCAGGTTTTAGACACCAATTCTATTGGGATTTATCTAGGTAAGCCTCGGTTGAGCAATTGAGAAAACTCCAATCTTTTGCCATAAACCCAGAAAACATATCATGCACTTGAATACCCAGCCCAATTTGGATGTTTTCTGATATTTGAACTTTCATCATCAAATAGCATCAGCGAATCACCAAAAACATCACCCAGGTCAGACGATGTCATGTACTCTGCCTTGATCGATGGCTATTGCAAGGAGGGTAGTGCCTTGGCCAGGACACTCCATGGATTGACACAAGAAAAAACCTATGGAGCCTATGAGAACATCTAGGGGGAATCCAACAAAAAGAGCGGTATAACCAGTATACCTGTATAACTTAGCCAACAATTACTGTAGTGGAAATATAATGGGAATATACGGCCAATCATCTATGGCCTATGGCAATATATGGCCAATATTAGGCTGAAAAAGGGTCCCAAAAAAAATTATGGTTCATCGTTATTTGCTCTATGACATACTAATCCTGTTTGAGGGCATATACCCATTTTCAGACATACCCATATAGGTTGCTGGGCTTGCTGAAGATGATTGTTTACTAAAAAGGGATGCTTGAATACCACACACGACCAGCCTGTCACGTATTGAATTATTGAACCACCTTGTTGAGCCATCCTTGAAATGATCCTTGATTTTCCCAACGAGAAATCGACTATGTGGATCTATTTGGAAAAAAAACTATCGGGACACCCGTTTCATGTTGTTCCTTGACTAAGCAAATCCAAGTCTTTTGGATTTTGTACCCATACCTTCCAGTACCTGTAGTGGACTAAGATGCCCCAGTACCTGGACGGTCGATATCTCACTTCTGGTGTAGACATTCATTCAACAGACCCTTGCCCTTGTGATTGTAAATGTGATATGGTTGGTTATACCGGCATCACTAGCAAGCACCCATTTGCTAATTAGGTGCTAGGTAAAAAATGTCGCCCATTGGTAATTCCCAGTTGAAATTAGGTCAATTCCTGGCCATGTGCAATCAAGACACCACCAACAAAACAACAACAACAACAACCCAGCCCGCCAGCCCGCCATGTTTGATTAACCTGTGTTTATCCTTGTCATTTGAGGTGCTGCATCCTTGCAACGAGCCACAGAACTCTTGGAGGTGGCTGCCAGCGGCAAAGGACTTGCGGTTTTTGGGGAACCAAACATGGGAAGGTGAACCCAGAACCCGCGAAAATCGCTGAGAACTGAACCTGGAAGCCTCCAAAAATGGGTTTTCGATGGTTTTAGACGATGATGTTAGGTTTTAAGAGTGTCATGTGGAGACTAGAAACTCCCCAAAATAACCACGCGTTTCTTTATGTTGTTGTGATGAAAAATCAGGAGGGTGGATACAAAGTCAACGCGGATCTATCCGGATCGAATGAAGTGTCTCCTATCATCGAGTGGTGGAATCTTAGTGATGGGACATAGCATTATTAGCCAATACACTATATAGACATATATAGACTCCATAATCGTCTCCTATCACTATATTATAATAATAATAATCTATATAAGTCTATATAGACATAATACTCATTAATACATTATAAGTCTACAAGTCTCCATAATCTTCTCCTTCCAGCAATGAAGTCCAAGACTGCGCTCTACAAGTCACCATAATGTTTCTACCGTTACACGGAGAGACCACGGCCTCCATGGCACCAAGGTTTGGTGACTCATGTCGCATGGTTGAACTCACCAACCAACACCTAAAGGAATAACATGTTTTGAGCAGGTGATGCTGCGTAGGGCTGCTAAGCCCAAGCCGCGTCTGATCACGAAACTCCTGCGCTGTCACGCCGAAAGGCGAGAATTCTGGGGGTCCTGGTGGATGTCCAGCAACCTCCGAGGGGTGTCTGAAACTGGGGTATAGCCACGGTATAGCTGTATAACCCACATGGTAATGTTAACTGAGGATGGTGGGGCTGGTGGGGTAAACCAGTTGGGTACACCCTGAAGGAGCTCAATGAATTCCCTACCGTGTTACAGTCTAGTCCCCAGGCGATTGGTGGATGATCACCCCTACTCTGCTGGGTGATTTCTCAATGTGGTTCAATGGATGATTGGTCCCAATGGCAATGTCTTCTTTGCGAGGTAGAAACCACCAACTGGTAAATGAGATTGAAATCTGTTTCTCTAAGCAGTTATGTTTGGTCAAAAATCACCATCAGATCTCCATTAGATCCCCATTGTATCTCCAGAGTGGTTGGTTTTATTTCCATTACAATCCCATTATATCTCTATTGTGAAAAACCTGCCATTGTTGGGCTGCAACCAGCCACAAGATCTAGAACTTTTCAGCAGAACTTGCGCCCGGCAGCTTCTAGTGTTTCGGCACCCAATGAATCTTTGGAAAGGATGCATAGCCGACATAGCTACTGACAGAATCGGAGAGAATGGCCCCCATCCTGTGCTGATGCTCGGACTTGAGTTGATCAATATCTGGAGTTGCTGAAAAGTTAGAACAGTTAGAATTTGTGCAGATCTGTTTGAAACTGGAAAATGCATGGGCAGCATGGCGTGAAATTTCAGCAATGGGACCGTCCCTTCCAGTGGGAGTCCAAGATATGAAGTCTTTTGACCTTGACTCTTTGACCAAGCCAATCCTGATGACCAAGTCCGACGGTTGTCAGATTGAGGCACTTGAAGCAGGCCATCAACCCTTTCAACAACTTCACACTTAAAGACTTACAGTAGATCATCATAAATCCCAGCGGATCCGTGGGTCCACCATGCCGAGCCTCCGCTTGCTGCGGCGCCATGTCGGTGGGTTTAACTCGCAAGGCCGCGATGACATTGGAAAAATCTCATCCGAAAATGGCCAATGGGAAAAAACTATGGATCAACCATGGAAAGTTTGAGGGCTTATTTTCAGGCAAAGCCATGGTTTGTTGATTTTGGGTGATGCTTGTGGGATGTTTTTGCTTCTAAGTCATGAAGTACGCGATAGTTATGGAATGTTTGATGAAATAAGAAATCAGGGATTCACCCATCAAGCAGGGTTGCTCCGACCGAGTAATCATGAAATTGCTGACGAGATCATTTTAGATATTTTAGGCAGCAGAAAATTTAGCCCAAGAACATTAAAGTTATATTAATGATTATTAATGGCTCAATACTTGGGTGTGTTCTCCCATTTTGGTTACTATGAAGCGATACCAACAATCATCCAATTGCAGAAAACCTGACAAATTAGTGGAGAATGGATGGATTTGTCATTTAATAATATTTAATATATGTTCCATATATGTTCCATACAATTTCCATATCTTTTCCATATATATCCCATACATTTTCCATAAGTTTCCCATGTTCAATGGGTGTTTTTCATATGACAAATCGGCGCCAGGACCTTCCACCCAGTACTTTGGCCCTCTTGGCGCATCTCTTCGCCTCAGCGGGACAGTCAATGCTGTGCCATGGCATGGCGCGATCGGATGGGGATTTTTGGGGGATCTTTTGGATAGATGGTGAAAATCATATTTCTCTATGGTTAAATATATATGGTTAATTCTATATGGTTAATCATCATGAAGATCTATGGTTAAAAACTATGGCGCGATTTTTTGGGATCTATATCTATGGTTAATATATGATTAATATATTGGGATGATATAGATATAGATAATCATTAGCCATAGATCTTTGGGCCTTACTGGCTAAATATCTATGGTTAATGATTATGACAATAGCCACATCCCAAAAATGGTTAATAGATTATGGTTAATGATGGGATGATTATCTATGGGATGGTTATTGGTTGAATAATGATGGTTAATGATGGTTAATGCTAGTTAATAATGATCAATATCTCATGAACATAGGGGATATATGATCAATATTAATTATAATTATCAATATTATATTAATGATGGTTATTGATGGTTAATAATGATAATATATATAATTATGTGGGTTTCCTAAGTCATGGGGATACCCCAATAGCTGGATGGTGTATAATTTTACAATGGAAAATACCACTAAAATGGATGAGAACTGGGGGTACCCCTATTTCAGGAAACCTCCTCAGTTTAAGAAGATTCACTGTATATTACAATGGATCAATATTATATTCTATCTTCCCAGAGATCTAAAATATTCAAATACATTATTTACAGTTTATTCCACAGATGTTTGGGATGGAGAAGCACAGATTCACTGGATTTCATTGGTATATTTACAACCCGTTTTCACCGAAGAGGCATGAGACGTAATTGTCAAGATTTCTGGGAACCATTGATGTGGGGGGGGTTCGGGCTGATCTTTGAAGTCATGATTGATGTTCTTGCTTGTTTGGAATCACATGATAGAACCCTGGCCCCATATTGAATGCCAAAAAGATTGGGAACCACAGAATTGATAGTATATGATAATATAGAGTATACATTAATCATTTTTGGAGGTTGATTGTCACTTCCAATATGAGTGCTCAGAGGAGCTCCGTTTGTGAAATATACAAGCATGCTTGGTATCGCGCTCCGATGATATTTGTAGATTACGTGCCCATGTAGGACATATCTCAATGCCGGCTGACCCTTGGGTGTCAACCTGAGGGCCTGCGGCACGTCGACGAAAATGGCGGCAATATGGGTGTTTTTAGGAAAATTGGGTACCCCAAAATCCAATGGTCTATCCTCATGTGACACATGAAATTTTGGATACCCAATGGTACCATTTTGGATATCCAATGGGGTATACCAATGATACCCAATGGATTGTGGATATCCAATGTTCCAATGGTACCCCAATGGTCTATGAAATTAGCCATTTTGGGGTATAGCCCATTCTTGGACAAACCGATGTAGTTCCCATGACTTGCTTGTTACGTAAACGGACCGTTCGGACCCATGGCAGCAGCAAGGATCTACATGTCCAGGGTGAATGGAGGAGCCGCAACCCCGGACAGTACCTTTTTTTCACAAACATTTGGTGTGTGTCCATCACTAAATCAAAAATGGTGGGTTTGGATGTTCTTGATCGTTATTTGTGGTGACATCACATCCACTGTCTCCATACTCCATTGTACTTATTTGGTTGGTATCCCACAAAAGTTTTCAAACATCCAAAGTCGGCCCCATTGCCATGGCGAATCAACCAAAGGGAATGGTTCAAAACATCTCAAAATCACAAAACAAATCCCCTATTTTTGTGCATGGTTAATGGATCCAGTAACCATTGCTACTTCAGTGGTAACCATGCGTTTTGACCGGATCGCCGCAGGATTTGCTTACGACGCCAGCTCAGTGGTTTGTCTCCAAGAAGGCTGGGCCGCTCCCGTTTTTGGATGGTCCGAAGGACCAGAAAACTCGGATCTTGCCAAATCTGGGTCACAAGTTGATATTGCAGGATCATACTGGAACCCTTTTTTTAATATGGCCTTAGCCAATCAGCCACCCCCAATGCCTGTCCAAATCTGGTCACATCGATCCGTAGGTTTCAAACTGCTGCTGGCCATCACGAACGAGGCCATCAAAATGGGTGGTTTTACATGGTATGACCTGAGATGGACTGAGGTTCTATCCGTTCATGTTGGATTTCCATTGCTGCCTCTAGCTATCCTAGAAACATCTAGAAATGGCAGTTCCACCATGTTTCCGTTTTTTCCTGGGAAGCGTATGTTATATTATAATATATTATATTATATTATAATATAATATAATATATTATATTATGTTATATTATATTGTATTAAATTGTATTATATTGTAGTATATTATATTATATTGTAATTATATTACATTATATTATATTATATGGATGAACGTTGCTCCTTTGAGTCTTTGTATAGTTGGAAGGGTGAGAACAGACAACCATGAGATTTGAGCTGCTTCTGCAACCTCCCAGCACTTGGATGTAGCACGATACCACACACCTACGCATTCAACCAATGCATGATGGGTCTAGCCGCCAAGGCTTTTGCGTGGAACATAAGGGAGTTATGTTGTGCAATTCCCTATCTATGAATCATGGATTTGGGGTCCCAGACACCATATGTCATTCTCTGTTCTTGATAGTTTGCAGGCAATGTTACTTGGAATACTCCATATGACCATTTTCTTCATTGTCGTCTTCACGATTCCACAAGCTTGTACACAGAGATGGTGTATCATTGCTATCATCTATATGACATATAACCAATTATCATCATGTGCGTGAATGAAATAATTACCCCAACCTTCCGCTGATTGTACCAGCAATGTTTGTTCATTGCCTCCTCATTGCTGATAGTTGACTTTTTGCTGATTTTATTCGCTGGAATCCTCTCCCAAGGTGGACTTAGCATTTGGTTTGTTACCCAAATGACTCGACCCACATCCAAGATCTCATGTGACCGTAAATCCTCCATGTTCCCCTTGTTTGCTTTCTTTTTGGACCACCCAAATCAGCCTCATCATTGGTTATAAACCATTTAAGAGTCAGAGCCCAACTTTTGGATTATAATCAACAATCACAACTGAAAGATTCATAGAACCGCTGATTAACCACCATTTTTCATGGGGAAAACCAGATAGTTCTTCCATTTAACCATTATTGATATATGGGGATGGGTCAAAACCATAGCCTATTATTTTCTAACGTCAAAATAGTTGGTAAATCCATGTTCATCCCCCTACAAATGGTATACGTATTGATCCATAGCCATATCATTTTAAGTTCCCAAGATATGGTGAATGAAAATGGATAGATGATATGGCTAGCTGGTGAATATTGATATTTTTTTCGCCCAGGTCAATGAAATCCGATCGCGACCGCGTGCGTCACAATGCGGCGACTGGTGCGCTGCCAATCTTCTGCCGGGCTTCATGGCAGCCCTGCATAGAAACTCGTCCGGAGCGGTGCGGGGGATGTTGGGTCGGATCGCGGGGTGATTTTCTCAATGGGATAATTTAGCCCCGGAAAATGGGAAATGATGGGAAATGTATACGCAACAAAATATCGTGCTGTAATGAGATATATACGCAGCCGAATTAGACCTGGATTTCTCCAACGGGTACAGCAGCTTCAGACAATCCCACATGGGCAAGGTCAACCGGCACATGGATAGGTCCACCTGCCAGGGAAAATCATCACCAGCCAGGGATTCGCAACTCGATCTTGAGGGAATTTGACCCAACAGGCTTACCCTCTGGTAAACTAACATAGCAATGGAAAGTCACCATTTTTAATGGGAAAATCCACTATAAATGGCCATTTTCAATAGCTATGTTAGTTTACCAGAGGGTATGCGAAGCTTATGAACCAATGATAACCAATGGTTGTTTCTCTCAGGCCAACTGGGCTCTCTGAGGTAACCTGGCAACTGGGACAAGATTACGGCGATCCGTGCCAGGGAGTGACAAGCGACTTCCAACTGGAAGGATCTCAAGATATCTCAAGCAACCCAGTGGTACAGTTGAGGGGAAATCGCATACACCCCTTGTACACCCCTTGTATATCCTTGTACCATTTATCAGATTTATCACCTTTTTGTTGATGGCTAATATCAGCCCGGATAAAGTTTGGATGACAAAACTAGGACCCCCAACGTCAAGGGGATGACAAACTAGACAAGTCAAGTCAGTCATATCTTGGCGCCTCGTGGCAGGCATAGTTTCAGTACTGCACCATACAGACCATACATGATAAGCATTGAAGAAAAGGACCACATATCTGATACGATTGATACGATCCTACATTATTTGTGCTCGGTAAATCTAGACCTGGATGCGTTGAACCCCCTCGGACTAAGGGTTGGTTCGCCCCAACTCGGAATGAGGTTTTTCTGGCGCATCTCTATGTGTCGCCTCCAATGTTTCATCTTCTAAGTCTTTGTCGCGTCAGTGCTGCCCGGCCCAAGGCTGCAGCGACCGAAAAATGGGGAGATTGAGCACAAAAACTGGTGGCTTTAAACAGCTCAAAATCTGCATGCATCAAGATTTATCCAAGGAAGTTTAGAAGTCTATACTTCCGTTTACGAATATTCAAATGACTATCACAACCACACAGACACCACTATCAGTATCACAACCACCACTATCACCACCAGCACTACCAAAACGACCGCTATCACAACCACCACTACCACTACCACACAACCACCACTATCACAACCACGCAAACCCCACTATCACAACCACACAAACACCACTATCACAACCACGCAAACACCGCTATCACAACCACCACGATCACCACGACCACCACTATTTATACAACCAGCCAAGTAAAAAATCATCAAATTGATTGGATGTGACCAACACAAGATGGGACATAGTGATGAGATGTGGACAAAAATTGTGGGCATATTCATGTGTCAAAACTGAAGGTTCGCCAATCCAGCCTAAATTCACCATATAACCTGATTCGGCACTATGTTCATCCCGACAGGGGCTAAGATAGGCATAGAATTACCCAGCTACCATGGGAACCATGGGAATCCCATTGATGAATCACCATGTATATCTGGTGGTATTATCATTGATGAATCTATAGAACTACCGAAAAAAACCATAGAATGTACCATATTTAGGTTTTTTTTCATGGTATATAGGTACTATAAATAACATAGAATCACCATAGAACTACTATAAATATACCATTAATGGTGGGATATACCATGGGACTTCACAAAAATCCCATGTGCCAAGGTGACTGGTGTGCTGTTACCTGGACCAGTTGGGATCTGGATTAGCGGGAGTTGGGATGTCTAAGAACCACCATAAATTGGAGAAATCCCATGGAAAATGTCGTGTTGATATATGATGATATATGAAAACCCTTGTAAATAGATAATTTTAAAGAACTCCATTGCTGGCGACTATTTTATATCCCTCCAGATTTGTTTTGATATGGCAAGTTGTAATATCTCCATTGATCTCCTTACTGGTTAGTTCTTCATCTCACTTGCAAATGGGTTGGGGGTTTCAATGTCCTTTGAAGGTTTCATCTACATTTAAGATAACGGTTGATATATCATTAAGGATCTATTCTGGTTTCAAGATGGGTTGTTCAACACCCATAAAGAACAAATGTGGGGATCAAGGTACATGAGTGGTGCAGGTCGTTCATATTCCCCTGAATGACACGGTGCTTGGCCGGGCGCGATATTATCACGACCTCGCGACGTTTAGCAGAAAATGTATCATTGGAAAATCTAGGAAATCATCCAAAACATTGGTGGACATTGGTGAAGTTCTAGTATTCAAGTATTACATTGGTGATATGTGTTTTGCATTGGTGAAGTATTCAAGTGTTGCATTTGTAGTAGGTTAACATGTGCTTGTAAATTGGAATAACACTGGTTAGCTGCGTGCTCAGCTGCCAAGCAGGGCCGCTGGGCTGCCTCTGCCTGCCAAGGCCAGCCCATTGTGCTTTAGACCAGGTGAGTACGTTGCTTAGTAGTGTTGTAATGTAGTACTGTGGTTGCCTGGAACCGCTTGCTGATTCCGGGGATGAGTTAATTGTTTCGTTGCTCCTCATGGGGTTCAATACAGCCAGCAGGCAAAAGTTGTGTAAAAGCCGTATTGCATCCTGCATTCCCTGGTATATGGCGGCATGACTGAAAGACTTCAGGTTTAGATTCGTCTTGCAGCAGGAACTTTCAGTCCTTCAATGGAAACTTGGATCAACTTTCCAGCGGCTAGCCACGTGGGGTGATGTTTCAAGAACTGTGGCTACGAGCCAATGTGAAACTAGTGGGGGTTCCGGAGAAAAAGCAATCACAGTGCCCAGCGTTCTAAACATCATTGTTCCAAATGTTTCTAGTTTGATTGTTTGCTTCGAAATATATATACATATGTAACATATGTATGTTACATGTTTATTGCATGCCTCTCTGGAAAATGATGATCCCGTTTTGAGACATGTGGGTACCACCAACCATATATTCTCTATGTCCAAACATACGTCTTTGTGTCATTGCGCATGCATGCGGGTTTTTGTTGCATGTGCGCTTTGTAATGGACCCATACGATCAACTTAACATGCATTGGACCCATATTATGAGCCTAATGTAATCCATTAGATGGGAAAATTAATCATGATGGGTATATATATATATTGGATAGATACTATCCAATTGATATTACTATCCATTATATACCATCAATGTGGTAAACCCATTAATAGACCTCCAATTGGGATGGCACTTTACCGCCTACCGCCTGTTTGGCTGGTATTCTTGGGTTTACCGCATTAGGGTAATATTCATCTGTAGGTATAATCAACACTGAATCTCCATTTATAATCCATGTATCATTATCCATGATATAACTATAATTCATAGGATCCTTGCTTCCGGGGGCCAGATTTATTAAGCCAGATTCAAACCCCTAAATAAGAAATATCCAGGTTTTAGGGGTAACCATTCTCCCAACAGACCCGTTGCGCATGAATTTTGGACAAACAACTAATAACCCTTAATAAGCGCAATCCTTTGTAGCACCATGTGATTCACCAAATTGGTTGCTTCTTACGACTCAGAGATGCTATTGAGTTAATAACCCTTAATAAGCAGTATGCAATTTTCTGGCTCCAGCAAAATAACCCTTATTAAGGAAGGAAATGATATCAGGTGTTGGGAACACATGTGCTTAATAAGGCTTATTTAGAAATGGGCCCCAGAAGAAGCAGAAATCAGTGTAGCCTTATTAAGCTTTCCTAAGCCGCACACGTTTTTCCTGGTCTGGTCTGTGTAGTTTGGGGAATCCTGGAACCTTTCCGGCACTAAAACCGGTTACATGCAGATTTTTTTTCTGGCAGGTGCTGGAAGTAGTGTCTCTCACAAGGAACCCTGAAGAGATGATAGGGGAATCTGATGGCAACCAAGTAGACCCCAATAAGCCTTAATAAGGGACTGGATCTATTGTTAACCCTTGTAAGACCTTGGTCTTGTCATCAACACATATCATTTTGCATGCTGCATATGAGTCTGTTTGGGCCCGGGGCATGAGAGTGTCACTAGTACTTGGCAAACCGCCTATACACTAACTTTCAACCATATGAATCAAACAATACATCAGGGTTCAGTCATACAGCGGCTCATCTAACAAACAAATTTATTTAACAAGCGCCCAAGTTTGATTTAGATGCAAGAGTGTATCAATAAGCTTTAAAACATGTTGTTAATTTAAATAAAAACAAAAAATGAAAATGTGATTTTCATTTTTTCATTTGAATTAACTACATACATTGTTTTAAAGCAATTAAAAAGATTTAAATTTTATAGATATGACTTTTCTCATTTTTTCGTTTTCGCTTTTTCATTTTTGTGTTACCCCGGTGTGTCAGGGTGTGTTAGAGTCATGAACTAGGACTCCAGAGGCGCCTGGCGAGCAGTTCTTGGCGGCTGGCGAGCAGTTCCTGACGCTTCCCTGGAACCTCAATAATAGTAGTCCTTTGTAGGCCTTCCTGGTGCCATCGCTGCTTGATTGTTTTTTTTACATCTTTCAGCACCCCTTTCACCCCAAGGGCCGAGATCTTCTGTTTTTTCTCATTTTTGACAAAAGAAAAGATCGAAATCACCCAGGCCAAAACCTAGAAAAAAAAATAAGGACAAATCGAAAAAAAAAACAACCAAAAAAAAACAAAAAATGATAAAAAAACGGCCAGACAATGATTAACAAAATCACCAAAAATTAGCCAAACACATTACCAAAAAACAACCAAAACTTTAAGAAATAAGGAAAAAAACGAAAACAACCAAAAACACGACCAAAACATGACCTAAAAAAAAACAAAAAAAGGAGCAGAAAACAAAAAAAATAACCCAACAAAGGACCAAACAATGACCAAATCTCGCCAAAATGATTAAAACAATGGCCAAAAACGACCAAACCATGAGGAAGCCAAACGACCAAATAAATGAACATTTAAAAAAACAAATACCAAAAAAACAAAAGGTACAGGCAGTTATGAACCCTTATTAAGCCTTATTAAACCAGTGGAGGTGTTGGTTCAATCCCCCAAGAAAGCAGCATGTGAAGCTTCCATGGGATATGCCTCCGAAGAGTTACTTTCTATTTTTTTGGCCCCTTTTGGAATGTTTCCCAAACTGTGCAAGTTCGGGTTTTCTGGGGCCAGCTGCCAAAAAAGTCATGTGAAATTTCCGGACGTAGTCATGTGAAATGGCAAACGGAGGATTCCGTTACGGGCGTTATACTATATGCTATGATAAGCGTCAGGGAAACGCTTAAACTCTTTGTGGGCCTGTCAGTTGTTTTTGACTCACTAGTTCAAGGGCCAAAACCATGAAGCCAGATCTGTGGCGGCAATGGGCACAATCACGCATAATACACGCAGACCCTGAGCTGACCTGGAAGCCTTCCATCCTGGAATCTTGAAAGCTTTGAACCTTAATCCTCCAACTATGAACCAAATTAATTCCAACCTTGGAACTACGTCCTGGGACCTTCCAATGCCGAAACCGTACAAGCGCTTGCGTATGGCTAGAAGGCATTTGAGAAGCTGTCGAGATGTCATAATCTCAATAAGGCTTATTAAGGGATATCCATCTTGGGCCCAAAAAGACTTCCTTTTTTGGAACGCATCCAGCTTTCCAGAGCAGTTTCCTTAATAAGCCTTAATTAGTTTTTCACCTAGTGTGCCCAAAGTGTATTTCTTATTGGTGCCTTATTAAGGCCCATTTTTCTCTTAATAAGCTCGTGCATTTTGCACTGTTCACCGGAACCAGTGGGAAACCTTAACAGGCATTATTAGGCCTTATTAAGGCTTGGTAAAGTCTACCAGTGCATTGTGCATTGTGCGCGTTTGTGCCCATTGTCGCCAGAAATCTGGCTTAATAAATCTGGCCCCCGGAAGCAAGGATCCTATGAATAATAACAACAAACCAACTATGATTACAGATATTATATATACATAATCCACCTATAATCTCCACCTATCATCTGTAATCCATAGACTATCCATAGATCATCTTCCAACTCCCAGGATCTCTCTGGTCCAATTGAGCCTTGCCATCGCTGGCACTTGTCACATCGACGCGCACAGCGCTGCAGATCGGTGCCTCATCGGATGGCCTCGTCGTTTTTGGCCTTTTTGGTCGGGATGGGTGAGATGGCCTCCAGTTTTAGATGCACAAACCCATTAACCAATAGTATACTATAGTTATATGATAATATATATATATATAGTTATATATGATAATATAGTTACTATAGTTAATGGTCAATTTATCGTTTATAGTATGATTAACCACCCTCTGGTAAACATACATAACTACATATAACATCATGTAACTACGGAAAATCACCATGTTTCATGGGTAAATCAACTATAAATGGACCATTTTCAATAGCAAACTGTTAGTTTACCAGAGGGTATAGTATGCTATAGCTATATTTACCCTAAACCGTAATTGTTCAACTACTGGTGTTTACCAACTTAGTGGTTTCGTAAACGGGGGCCCAATTTTTTGCAGCAATTTAATCAACTGCCGGCTGAGACGCTCTGGCGGGAGGTGGGTGATGGATTCATCAGCAGCAAGTGGGAGCAATGATGATGTGATCGAAGACCACCAGCTGATTAACAACTGTCGCAACACCTTCAATGCGTTGAAAGGGGCAAAACAAGCGCTGACATAGTGACATCTCCAGAAGGACTCAAGACAATGACATACCAGTCACATCCAGTCCAAGAAACGACGGGACAATTCCCATTTCATGGTGATATACTGGGATATGATGAATGTTGCCAACAAGGGCCAACAATGCAATGGTTCAAAATGAGGTACACCCAAAATTGCAATTTGAATGAAGCAAAAGAAGATACATCATTAGAGAAAGCAATTGAATATCTAGATTTTATTGGGGCATGGGCGGCATAGGGAAAAATTAGGGTACCAAACTGTCCTCACAATTTGTTTTTTTTAAGGATCTGAAACCATATTTTGACCCATTACCACATGGACACTTGACCTTTGGAAAAACAGACATTTCACCCACAAGGAATGATGAGAAAATATTGGATTGATCAGCTTATATCAGCATCACGATTTGGTTCTTCAACAACCATTGCTGGTTGGTGGTTTGGAACATGAATTTTATTTTCCCATATATTGGGAATCATCATCCCAACTGACTTTCATATTTTTCAGAGGGGTAGGTCAACCACCAACCAGATTGTGTCTGCTACTTGAACCCTCTTTGTCCATGGGCCAAGCGGGCAGAATCGTCAGCTGTGGCGAAGGTTACCCCGAAACCCTTGGGGAATATGTTGTTTTCTTTGTCATTTCGGACTGAAAAATGTTGGAGTCCCTTATTTCAGTTGTTTTACTCCGGTGTATATCAGTGGGATATAATTCTATACAACTGTGTTTTTCTTTTCCCGGCTATTAGTCGCAGACCTGGTAGTGTCTGCCCCTGTTTGTTGGGTGATTGATGGTTTTGGTTCATGCTGGTTGCCTGTATCATGTTGTGTCCCGGAAAAACCATCCCAAATGAAACCCATTGTAACCATGTACAATGGTTGTGATATCGTCAATCCCAATAATAATGTGAAACATTGATGGGTTATACAGACAAAATACCCACAACACCATTAATCTCCCAATAATACAAATGCATCAATAGAGATAAATATTATACTTGTAACCTATCAATGATTGTTACATGGTTGTACTCTATTTCATAAATCATGAATGTTAACCTCTCATAGTAAAGATATGTAAAGATGGATACCCCATGACTTCCAGAAGATCTCGATCGAGGACCTCAGAGCCGGATGCCGACTGGCTGACGGTGATGAGTTTGATGTTGATCCTCGCTGTCACCTGGCGAGACAGACGGGTTGATAGACTGTGGATGAAGAAAAACTATGAAAAACTCAGAAAATGTGGTAAACCCAATATTTTACCGTCCCCATATTTTAAAAGAAATGGGTCGTCTAAACCATTCCCAAAATAATAGTTGATTATTGTGGTTACCACAATACTTAGTAATTGGGTCATAATCCATTCCGCAATATCCATTGAATCGACACATAAGGAACTACATCGTGACATGTGAGTCAAAGATAGTTGATGGGGATACAAGACTCCTATCGCCAGTTTCTGAGTCTGAGGCTCCATGATTTGATCGGGTCTGGTGTTTGGTTTGAAACAATTTGGTATTTTCGGGATACCAAAGCCATTAGCTTTCTAAAGCTGCCAAATTAAACACATTGGTGTTAGGATTCCAGGAAACTTTGCCGTACCCAATTTTAATGTTTGCGGCCATGCACAAAACTGGGACGTAGAGCCCAGCGAAAGGTGACACCTTTCTACCAATAGGGAGATGAGCAGCCCCAAACAGACGCCTCGTGATGTGATGAAGGAGATGTTGCCGTTAGGCTTCGTAACGGGAGCAGATGACACCGACAAGGTTTCTCTCATATGGGGGGGTCCATAAATTAAATGGTGGTACCCCAAAATGGATAGTTTATAGTCGGAAATCATATAAAAATATATGATTTGGGGGTACCCCATGTCAGGAAACCTTCATATTTTCAACGATCACCTTGGCTCACAGGTGCTGTTTTCTGATTGACGCAGTGAGTCTTGAAGGCCTTCAACTGTTAGGACCAAGACATCGGGTGTTTTCACTACTGTACCATGACTCAGGAAGAGAAGCACCTGAATTTCGCAACGGTGATTGCTCTAAGGAGTGTTTTTCCTCGATCATATAATCCCAAAAGAGCCTTTCGTAGTCCATCAATCTTGGCGAAGGTTTGTGAATTATTGGGGAATCATATCCCACGCTGGAACTAATTAAATTTGTTTTCAAAGGATATCGGTTGCGCGCCAGTTTCAAACCCACATTTTTACACCACTTCATCCACGCCGCGCCATGCGTCATGCCGGCGCGGCTATGGCGTTTCATGGGAACAGTGGATACGGGCGCTGGAAATGGAGATGCTGTGTATCGTGACTTGGTTGTAGTCTTGAGAGTATTGAATAGGGATGTTCGACTGGTTGGTCGCTACTACTATGGTGTTATTGTCATTACTGGTTCTATGTTTCATTGCTCTTCTTTGGGTTGTTTCTGTGTAGTTATCATGATTATGAAAATGTTTGATGGATATGTTTGGTGTTCCAAATTTCATCCAGAGGCACCTTTGACTCTAGAACCAGCAGGAATGACGCTGAAGTTCGGCATGTCTGTGCAATCTAATCAGCTGGAATCCACGCAGGATATTGGAGATACCCCAAGCATTGGATTCCCCGCAAGATTGGGGGGGGGGGGGGGCACTGATTCTTGGACACAACCAGTCCGGTCTTAGATTTTGATACCAAATATTCCAATTCTAAGATACTGATATATATATATATGATATATGATATATGATATATACATATGATATATATATAAGTATATATATATAATTATATATATATATACATATCAGTCTCATCCACTTTACCAACCACTTAGTCAGCCTTTCCCAACCACTTCGCCAGCCAAGCTGGAGCCTCCCAGTCCCCCAGGAAACTGTTTGCAGGGCCTGAAACAAATCGATGCCGTGGAAGTGGAGGCGGTACTGGTGGGATCCTACAGGATGTCATCCTGTCTAAATGAAAATAGCTGGTTGGTGGTTTCCATTTCATATATGGGATGTCATCCTTCCCATTGACGAACTCATATTTTTCAGAGGGGTAGACATACCACCAACCAGATACTAAATGATAATAAATTATTGTAATATGTTGCAATCATAACTATGATAATAACAACCCCAATGTATATTTGCCCATGGGTTTGGATCCCGCTGGTCACTACGCATTCTTCGTCTTGGTCATGGCAGCCGAAATGCTGCAGGTGCAGAAAGGTCGAGTACATTGGAGCAGCGCCATGGCAGCACATGAACTATATATGAGTAGATATACATATACATATAAATATACATACATATACATATACATATATATACATACATATACATATACATATACATATACATATACATATATATATATACATATACATATACATATATATACATATACATATACATATACATATGTATATGTATATGTATATATACATATACATATACATATACATATACATATACATGTGTATATATATATATATATATGTATATATATATATATTTACATATATATATATATGTATATATATGTATATATGTATATGTGTATGTGTATGTGTATGTAGAGAGAGAGAGAGAGATGTAATTATCCACCTTCTCACCGTAAACCAATTTATTTGTTGGCCCCAAAATCTTTTTGGGGGATCGCCTTGAACCAGGGTGTCGGTGTAGTCACAGCTGTAGGCGAGGTAAGATGATCCCACGGATGATCCAATTTCAGGCGGTACGACTGCGGTACGGTAGAATCCACGGACACAGTGAGGATTTCAAAATGTTTCAAACATGTTCAACTGACCAATGGTATCAAGATTTGTGAGGTGACTTGAACCTCGACCGCTTGAAGATGTTGACGCTTGGAGGTCAGAGATGGGGATCTGAAAAAAGCGTTCCATGGAAGTTGCGAAGGGATCGGTGTTTGTTTCTTTGCTTATGAAGACCTCAAACCAAAGGACTCCAGCTTCGGACCCCAGCATGCTTCCACCATCCCAAACGAGGTTTGGGAAAAACTCGTCACAACCATCATCCCACGGGGCGATTTTCATCAGGAACTGTTTTGAGAAGATCTTTCTCACCAGTTATCGTGGAGCAGACTGGCCCATCCCACTCCACTGGCGTGAGTATGTTGAAGCATGGGAAGCCGCTTGTGGTACAGTCGCATCGTTCCGTGTCAATTGCAGCCTGGTGTGAATCGGTGGGCTAGGGCTTGAGGCAAAGATACCATATGCTTGTGACCTTGCCGAGAACTTTGGACTAGAGAAACATCTCGAATAAACCATCATCAAGGGCTGATTTTTGTATTGTTTTTTAAAAAACAATAGTTGAACACACACTTCGAAAGGTCCATCTTAGAGTCAGAGTATAGTCCAATAGCGGAATATTTTTTGCATTTTTTTTGGGGAAGTGAAGGCAGAAAACGAAAATCGGAGTTTCTTTCTTGGAAGATACGTTTGTCCTCCTTCGTCCTCTTTCTCGATGTCATGGCAATATCCAGACACAGGTGGTGTACATTTGTTTGTTTCCCAAAACGATCCATGGGGCCCTGCCAGACGCAGAGGGTGAAGTTTCAGGCAGATCAAATTCTTGTTCTTGTGCGTGTATTTGTACTTGTACTTGTTCTTATTCAGTTTGTTCTTGTTATGGGTTTTGATGTTTTTTGTGTTTTTCTTATTCTTATTTTGTTGTTCTCAGGCGAGTGATTTCCTGTTGGTTGGGCAGTTTCCCTTGATTCTTCCAGAGCCAGGTAAGCGAACAGGCGACAGCATGGCTGGTAGCACTTCTGTCGCACCTTAGCTCAGACTTCCAGTGATTTCCGATACATAGCTTGGCAGTCAAATAGGCAGCCCCAGTAGATAGTGGCCATTTTTCTAGCTTACCACCCATCCATATTGACCCAAGACCATAGATTCATCCATGGACATGCACAACTCGGCCAAGGAACTGGAAAAGGCCTTGGGTTCTGAGTTGCAAGATCACTTTGGATGGCCCCTGCAGTGACCTGCTGCAATTTACCTATCCCATGGTATCCCTGATGGCACCATTTCTGTTGAAGACTCTGGTGATCTCGGATGTTTGGATTGGATGAAGGCTTTGGCCATAAACGCATTTGATCCCATCGGCAGCTTACCCATGAAGATTAGCTGAAACGCGGTACAAAAAGTTGCCTATTCTTAGGGATGTCAACGTGCTTATGGTCTCAGAAATCTCGTCACCCTAACGATGTGTATATATAATATGTGTGTCAAGATGTAGTTCCGAATATGGGACCCAAACATGAACAAGTCCAATCCTAAGCCGAATTCCATCCCACAGCTGGGCCATTCGGCATGACCTGAGGTTGAAACAAGCACATTTGGAGGTCGCAGCAGGGGAAGTGGTGTTCCCTCCACAGATAAATAAAGGAAACTGGGAGTGGAAGGGGCAAACAATGACATGCTCAATGAAAACAGACTTGCATCTCACTTTGCAACTGCCATCATTTGTGATTCAATGTTGTTTTAAGTCTAGTGATTGGCTCCTTACTTTTCTTGCTTAGTTATACTTCACCTTTTTGGTGATACTGTATTATGATATATTATGATATATTATATGATATATTATATGATATATTATATGATGTATTATAGTTTGGTATTACTGTTCGTGTTTGATCGGGCTGATGGTGTTGGTGTAACGCCAGGTGTGGCTCTTTGTCACCGAAGAGCACCTCGTAGGCTTGCTGCTGATCCTTGGGCCACCGGATTTGGCACTGTAGTTTTTGGCAAAAATCTGTAAAATGTTGGTTGTTTGGCCTTGCAATTGTGGAAATTCCAGATGTAGTGTATATTTCATGTTACTGTAGATCCCAAATCGATGAGATCTCCGTCTCTCCCTGTTTGGACGCCAGCGGGATTGCCACTTCTATGGATGTCTTTCTGAGTGAAAGCTGAAGCATGCCCCATTCACACAAACTTCCTTTAAAAAAAACATGTTTCCTTTGGAAAAACACACCACTGCAGAATGATGGATCTTGAACAAAATATATTTACCATGCAGGCCGTTGTTGAGGTGTCACTGGCATGGACAAGAACAACCTGTATTGTTCTACCCATTGGATCATTTGTTGAGATAGTCCAGTTCTGGTTCCAGTAAATGATTCATGTTTGGGTTACGTAGAAGCCTTGCATGATTTCAGGACTAGCGGATCCCAGTACCATTTGTTGTGCAAAGCTGCCTCATCGGAAAACAGCCTGTTGGAGAACATGAATTTCTGGGAGCACCTCATTTGGTTTTTGCCACTGAGCATCACAGCTGACTGACGGTAATGTTTCTCCCAGTTGGTCCCAATGAGTGCTGGTACAAGGGACCAGAACAAGCAATGGTATCATTTGAACTGCTAGGAATGATACTTTCATAGGTAAAACCTCGACATGAATGGTTTCAAATTACTATGATGTAGTCGTTTATGAACCATATAGCAGATATCTAATTATCCATATAATATATATATATATTAATTAATTAATTAAATCATATAGGCAAATTATTTATGATTATTTGACAGTTATCCACATCTATCCTCAACCTACTTAGATTTTTATTGTTGAAACAGCTCGGGTTCCACCATGTTCCATCAAGGATGCGACAGCTGAAATCTCGGCCGGTCTATAGCAGCTCAACGGGTGACTTGGTGCCGAACTGTGAACTTCTACCTTTAAAAATCTATGAATTGATGGATGTTTTGTGGTTGTTTTATGGAAGGATATTCTAGCTGTAAATTATAAATATCTATAAATCAAGAACTTCTAGCGTTTCTACCTTTATCTTACTATGCCTTGAAGAAAACCCTGAAAAACACACAGAATCCAAATGAATCCAAGGCCTTCACCCCAACGTGGCTTGGGCCATGCTGAACGCAGCGGAGGTGTTGCCCGGGGAGGTGCTGCTGGATCCCATGTGTGGCACTGGGATGTTGCTCACCGAAGCGCCCATGCATTGCCATGTGCTGGGACTCTGGGCGAGGCAGATTTTATGTTGTTTTTTGATGTTTGATGGTGCACAAAAAATGGGTCGGGCGAATGTGAAGTGCTGGTAAAATGGTGGTTTAAGGTAGACAGAATGGGATGAACCTGGGTTTACCATATGATATTTTCGGAGCATAATCATCAGAGTTTCAAGGGGACATCCTAATCCAATTGGGAATTCTCCCAGCCCAGGAGCGGATATCTCTCCGGACATGTTGCTTGGCGTTCGTGGCCAAGCTTCGGGAACCACGTGGAACCACTTTCTTCTCCTGAAAAACCCTTGACCATTTGTAGAGAGTTCGATTTTAGTAACCCCAACATTTATCACAATTATCACAATGGTAATTTATCAATGGTCAAGTGTATTTTAGTAACCCCAACAAGGATTTAAAAAAAAAAACATGTATCACAATTTTAGTGTGATTTTACTGGATTGGGTACCAATATTGCCAGGTCTTTGGGAGGCAACAATGGTACTATAACTGGGTTTGGTCCTTAAAAGCCCGTGATCTATATATTATATATAGAATGCATAGGTATACTGACATGTTTTGTCATATAGTTATGTAATGTTATGTAATGTTATGTAATGTTATGTAATGTTATGTAATGTTATGTAATGTTATGCAATGTTATGTCCATTTATGTAAATACATATATATATATATATGAATATGTATGAATATGTGTGTGTACTTGCTTCTTCATTACTATGTGTATATTTGTTTCGGGGTTTCGAACATGGGTTGCCCGTATTTGGGACGATTTGAAATGATTGTATGCGTCAGAAGAATTGAAACATAGAAACTATACCAGCCGTATAATCATTGCCAAATTATGTGGGAAAGTAAGTAGGCCTACTTTGGATCATGCGGAACTTGACACAGCTGCCGCTTTCATGTTTGGAGTTGCTTTACAACCCATCAAAGATGAATCAACTAAGGCAGAGGGCAAAGATCCTCTTCATTTTATATCATGAATCATATATCCTGTCATTTCTGGATACCCAATGACTTGACGTAGAAGCATGACTGGCCAGGTTGTCCAGTCATACTTTGGATCATAACACCACAAGCATCCACTGAAAAGGGGGCCACCAACGAATTTACGGATGTAATGTAAGAAAAGATCTAAACATATCATTTGCAATGGTTGGAGTATATTTTGCAGAAACATTGCCCGAAATCATCTCACATCCCATGGTGGGCTGCTGCATGGTCAGGATATCACGTGCAGCAGCGCATTTTCGATCGTTGCAGCACCCGCACTGGTCCTTGCTGCGTGCCGATGTGAGGCACTTGAGCCATAGCTTAACAGTGGGCATATGAGCTGAAAACGACATCAAGATTGGGGATATGATCGTCAAATACTAGGAGAGAAGCTGCAAAAATGGGTGGAATCATCTTGCTGGGTCAAAACTGGCTACACCAAGGCCTTTGCCCGATGCATCCGTCGATGTCGTCGTGTGCGACTTGCCTTTCGGGCGCCAATTTGGTACAGTGGATGCTGTGGCAGGCAGTTACTTTTCCACACATGGAGTATACGATGGTCTTCCCCTAGAATCCCATGGTTTGCCATCCAAGTTGTAATTTTCGGGTGGAACCTTGAGTTTGAGACAAACCCATTTTGTTGTGTGGGGAACGTGGTTCCAAGTGTTTTAGGTGGTTGACAAGCATGACAAGCAAAGCATATACAAAACAAACCTGGACCCCAGCAATATCTGGTCAAGCAGAAAAAATAAGGCTTATTTACAAATCTAGTGCTTTTTTAACATTTTGCAGGGACGTTTTCCCATGAAAACATCTTGTAAAAAACAACAACTGCAGGGCTTGAGATGCGGGCCTCTAGGCCTGGCCCGGTTGCACCGGTTGCCGACGCCAAGGAAGCGAATCGCCTGTTGTATCCGCAAGCGCTGAAGGAAATTCGACGAGTCACCCGAGCCTCTGGGCGTGGCTTGGTGTCCCAAGCTGAGATCGCAACCAACAAATCGTGCTATGTATATATATATATACATATTTATATATATATATTCTATTTGTTTGTGAAGGAATGACATTTGCATGGCCATTGTATATGTGGTTCAAAGGGATAGTGAACATAAATCGTGATGTGAAATCAGTGATCACGATGAATCATTGTGGGTCGGGGGTGTTCAAACAGTGGCAGTGCGGTATTTCACCCTGTCATTGTGATTTATTTTCCCAAGTTCGATCCCATTTCCATCGGTTGAATTCCCTATGTACATACTTTTGTCTTAAAAAACCGTGAACTCTGCGATTTTGATTGCTCACCCTCCAGATATTTGTTCATTCAAACTCTGGTTGTTTCCCAAATCCGTGGGTCTTTTCTGGCTGAATCTCCCTCTAAAACCATGAATTTTTTATGGTGAAAAATCCCTGAAATCTTCCAGGATGCGTTTTGCTGACTTCCCTGGAGAATCGCGAGACCTTAATGTCTGCCGTTGGCGAGTCCTGGAGTTCGGTAGAGGAGGTGCAATGGAATTTGGCCAACAAGTTCCCTGGATTTCCCGGGGAAAGTTGCGAGTGTTCGAAAAAATGTGGTATACACCATTAGGTGGTAACCATCTAAATAATCATTATCATAATGGTATAATAACTGGGTGGTAACCATCTAAATAATGTGGTATAATGATTATGATAATATTAGTAAAGCAATGCCATAAACCACCCATATTTTGATGGTTACCACCCAGTTACAGTCAATTTAAGGGGATGGTTTACTACTAATTATTGTAATTACTGACATAAACTCATTCAATTTGAAATGATAACGCATAAGTCAGCATTTTACTTTTCTAATCTTCTTCCAAGTCTTTCATTTTCCCAAAAACCTCCTGAGATCCCAAGGCTCCCGGCCGTGCTGCTCTTCCTCTCGCGCACGGAGGGCGCGGCTCCGCGCGCTCCGCGCCTCGCCGCCTTCGGCGCCGGAGCCGGGCGCTTCGCGCTGCAGCGGAAGCAGCAGAGCCCGCAGCTGGTGCTGTGCCAACAAAAAGGAGCGAAGATCCTATGTCAATATACCAGTTAGTGATATAGTTGGTGTTCTATCTATATATAGTTGATCTAACTATTGGTGATCTAGTTATCAATTATAGTTGATCTATCTATATAGTTGGCTATTATATACTATATACCAATCAACCATCACTAACCATTATAGTCTAATATGGTTATATCCGAATCATATCTATCATAAAGGAACATCCCATGGTTGGGGGGATTGAGATTATATGATAATAGTTTTAGTAGTGAAGATAATAATCAATGATCAAAATATGAGCCATGGTATTGGGGCATGGTCATCAAGCCATTGTCATCGGGATTTTTTTACCCATAGAAAAGATTTCCAATAATAGTGAGATGACCACAACCATATGTATATATATATGCATCATGTTTTTGCCCATGGCACATACGGGGAAGGATTGGAACTACTATATGTTTTTTCCCCACCTGCCAGGTGAGGGTTGTTAGATTTTATGTCAGTTGCCTGCTCCTCCTCTCCTCTTCTCCTCTCCTCCTCCTCGTCGTCCTCCTCGTCGTCCTCCTCGTCGTCCTCCTCGTCCAACTGCGACCCGCGATCCACAGTGTTCTCTGTCGGACCTCAACCACGACCATCCACGCCCAGTGTTCCCTGCCGGACCTCAACCACAACCATCCACGCCCAGTGTTCCCTGCCGGCCCTCAACCACGACCATCCACGCCCAGTGTTCCCTGCCGGACCTCAACCACGACCATCCACGCCCAGTGTTCCCTGCCGGACCTCAACCACGATCATCCCCGCCCAGTGTTCCTGCCGGACCTCAACCACGACCATCCACGCCCAGTGTTCCCTGCCGGACCTCAACCGCGAGTATCCACGCCAAGTGTTCCCTGCCGGACCTCATGTAGGAAGATATGGGACAAAGAATGTGCAGAAGAAAGTTAGAAAGAATGTCAGAAAGAATGTCAGAAGATATGCCAGAAGATATGCCAGATAGAATGCCAAATAGAATGCCAGATAGAATGCCAGATAGAATGCCAGAAGATATGCCAGAATATATGCCAGAAGATATGCCAGAAGATATGCCAGATAGAATGCCAGAAGATATGCCAGATAGAATGCCAAATAGAATGTCAGAAGATATGTCAGATAGAATGCCAGAAGATATGCCAGATAGAATGCCAGAAGATTTGCCAGATAGAATGCCAGAAAATATGCCAGAAGATATGCCAGATAGATATGCCAGAAGAATATGCCAGATAGAATGCCAGAATAGAATGTCAGAAGATATGTCCAGATAGAATGCCAGAAGATTTGCCAGTAAGAAAATGTATAAATGTCATGGTGGGGATCACACGAAGTAAAGTAATTTTCATATTTTTTGGAGATAAATGAAATGGCATGAAGATCCATAAATGCCGATGATTTTAATGTTAAAAACAAAAGGTATTCGGGTTTGGACCCATTGCCAGTATTTTAGCAATGGGATTGATGGGAGTTGTTTGATGTTGAGTGAAATGAATCAAGATATGTTTGGAAATTCAGAAGATATGGATGCATATTCAACATTCAATATCCCATGAATGGGGATGTTTACCAACCATGATGGTGATGTAATGAGTATAACGGCATATAAGTTTGACGTGACCAACACAATGATAAACCATAAACCATTGTATCGGTCACATCAAAATTATACGCCATTATATTTATTTCGGATTCTTATGTAGTAAATCCGAAACCATAAACCATCCCCAGTGTGAGGTTTGCACTGGAAACTGGACCTACCCATCGACCAGCATTCCAAGGCCTGTTCGTCCTTGTCATCTGCGCATTTGTTGTTGAGAAATCAAACCCACGATCTTCATCTACACCTGTTGCTCGGCAGTGTGGCTATGGAACTCAGCAGACTTCTGGCACACCTGGAAATCACCTACAAATAAATATGAGGGATAAATTGGATAAATCACCTACAAATATGGGATAAATCACTTATTCACAGGATATATGTGATACACATATATATATATATGTGATTCCGTTTGCACCAGCCCGTTGGGGATGATCCTCCCAACCAACGGGTCCTCGGGTCGACAAGGTCGGCTTTCTTGTCATCACTGATGCTTTATGTTCCTCGGCAACGACCTCACTGCGACCGAGCCCTGGAATCATAGTTCATAAGGGATATTAACCCCAAATGGGCCTTAATTCAGGTTAGTGAAATATTATCATTTACCCAGATTCCTCTTTTGGGACCCAGAGGTGCGGAAGATGAAAGATGAGCCTCTGAAGTGTTCTGTTTTGTGGTTGTTCAACCATCGGGTTTCAAAATATCACGTGCACTTCCTGTCTTAGTTATGATTAGTTATGACATCGTTGAGAAAAGAATCGATGTGTGAACCCAAACATGGAAGAAATTATCCCTTTGGACATCATCTTTGTTTGGAAGGTATCAAACATTGGCCATGATGTTGTTCCCTTTTTGTTGGGCTAGATCAATATGAAGGTGTCAATTCTTATTTTCATATGCCGATTGCCGTTGGATAAAACCTGCATCGATTGGTCAGCTCACAACAACCAGTAGTCATGGGTCAACATTTCAGACCCAGCGACCCAATTTTGGAGTGTTACGATATTTAAATACATTTAAGATATCCCAAATTATTCCCTGAATAATAATAGCCCAGTTGGATAATCCCATTATATAATAATATATCCAAATATCCCATTGAGGATATATATATATATATGTGTCTTTATAAATAGCCCATTATTTCTATTGTCCCCCAAATGGGATATATCCCCAGTGTTGCTGCAAGCCGTCGCCAGGCCACGTTGGGCACGAAGCGGCCCTTGGAGGGCTACAACCTGCCAGTCTACCTCCTGGCTCCTCGGCGACCTGGAGAACCTCCTGGAAGACACAGAGGTTTAATAGGTATAGGAAAATCATCCGTAAATGGAGGATATAGTTACTATATCGCTATATGTTACTATTACTGTGATCTAGACTATTACTACTGTGATCATTACTGTGATTCCTAATGTTATATCTTGACAGCCGCAAACAAATAAAACTGGTACATGCTGATGAGCCCATTTGTTGTTGTGACTTTTTGTTGGTGCCTCACACCAGATCATCACCAACAGCTTGATGGGCGCGGTCACTTGGCGACAAATTTCATCGGATTTATCGGATGTCCCATTTGGGATGGTTTGTTTATACCACCCATCTATGGAAATATGGGGAATGGTTGGTGGTTTGGAACCATGGAATTTTGAATGACTTTCCCATCATATTGGGAATGACGTATATTGGGAATAATCATCCCAACTGACTTTCATATTTTTCAGATGGGTAGGTATACCACCAACCAGTTGAGAATGGTTTATGGCACTGGGTTTGGATCCAAGCTGGGGAGATCTCAGTGGTGTGTTTACCCATCACCCCCTGAAACTGGTTGCTGCACCAACAATGGTTTTACAACAAATCTTACTTGATATTGATACTGCTACAACAATGTTTGAGTTTCATGGTTTTTTTTTCTGGTGATAATCTATTCGATGTTGACTTCCTACACTTATGAATCCAAATGTTCTTGGCTGGTGTCCACATTATTGCAATTCACATTACCATAGGATTTGTGAACCAGAATCATCCCAGCAGTGATTCCTCCAAGACGTATAATCGACCTCCCTGAGGTCCTGGGGCGGAAGCCACCTCTGGGCTTTCAACTGCTGGGCACAGTGGGCAGCTTGATGCTTTCTGGTGGCATTTCCTCCAGTGATAGTTCGATGTTGCTGCCATTCGGGTACCAAAAACCAGTGAATTGCCAGAGCTAACACGAGTTCACTTCCCTGGAGCATCGACCATCTCAACAGACTCGTTGATGTTCAACTCTACCAGCATAGAAAACATCAGAAAGCGATGCAGAGATGTCCGGGCAGTTTGGATCACCAATTCTACAAGTTGATGGGGCTTACCTAAGTCATAGAGGTACCCGGGGTACCCCCAAAGGATCTGAGTCATGGATGACCATTTTAGCATTGAAACCCATGGTGAAGCCATGGTGACTTGGAGATCCCCCATTTTAAGAAACCTCCATATGGAGTTATTTGATTATCGTGTTGAAATCAGTTGGAAAGACAATGTCCCAACATTTGCTTGATGAATGCGGCTGAAAAGTCCTGAAAAATTACATACAGAGCACATCACAGCACAATCCGTTCAAAAATCCATTTCAACCCACCTGCAACCCATCCAAACTCCATCAAACGTCCAAACTCCATCAAAGATTCTTTAAAAAAACAAAAACAAAAAAAACAAAGATTTAAGCTGAATTGAGGATATAAGTAGACCTTTCAACATGTTCCAGGTTTCATCCATCAAGGCTGGCCATTGGCCTCTCCTGGCTGCTGTCGGACTTCAACGGCGGCGGAAACTTCTGGCGCGCCGCCTTGTTGAGCATCTCAGCGCTAGGCCAGGATGGGGAGATCTAGGAGATCTGAATGAATCCTATGAATCCTATGAAAATAGCCATTACCCTTTGGTAAACTAACAGTTTTGCATAGTTTTACTATTGAAAATGGCAATTCATAGCTGATATATCTCTTAAACATGGTGGGTTTCAATACTAGATGTGTTAAATTACCAGGGGGTAATCCATGATTGGCTATGATAATTGAATTTATAGGATGATACTAGTGTAGTTCACGATAATCTATGATAATCTATGAATCATAAATGAATAGGATATTAATTAATGAATATTATTCTAGGATAATAATTGATGAATAGTCACTATTAGTAATGAATAGTAATAATCATTTATGGATAGTAAGTCATCGATGATTGGCAATGAAGAATAATTGAATAGGATAGTCATTATTGATGAATCATAACTATTGATGATAATGAATGTAATGATGAAACCTAATCAGTGATAATTCATGATTATTCGCAAGTAATTACCCTCCGGTACTCAAAGATGGCAATGGAAAGCATCCCATAGTTGCTTGATTTTCCCATTAGAACCTCCACTTGAAGTAGATTTTCAATTGCCATCTTTCACTACTTGAGGGTAATAAATAATTATTACTGTAGTGAATGATCAATCCCCATTAATTTATTGTTACTAACAACCCTTATGGTTATTGATGGATACAACCAGTAGATGGTCGTCTCCGGTCGGAGCAGAGCGGAGCAGGTCTTTACTACGGCGACCCCAAGGCGCTCTATAGACGCTGGTCGAACAGCTCAATGCTTTGGATCATGGATATGTGGGTATGGGTCAATACCTATAGATACATTTTTAGTGGGATGAACATCCATGAATCCCAGCTATTTTGATGTGAACTACAGGGGTACAAGGTTTTGACCCATCCCCATGTATATGTGTAGAAAAAATATACATATGATGATTACATATACCAATTTAGTGGGTATAACTGACTGATGATGATTGATGATGATTGATGATGATGATGATGATGATGATGATGATGATGTCCTTCACATGAAATGACAATATTGGGAAATTCCAAGATTCCATGGCAAGTGTCCAGTTTGTTATCGGTGAATCCAGGATGTTTCACCGAGCCGTGGTCATAGATTGGGATGACAAAGATGGCACCAGAAAATCCAGAAGGAACTTCCCATGGCACCAGAATGTAGCCATCAATGTCTCATCTATGGTTGTATCCATCAATAACCAGAATATTGTTAGTAACAATCCTCATTAATCAATGGGATATTGTGATTAATCAAAGGGTGTTATTGTTACATCCATCCTGAAGTATCCTAACATTAATCAATCCTCAGCCATCTATGTCTGATTTCATTGGCCGATATCTACAGATTCACAGCATGCCAAGGAAGTGATGCGGAGTTAATGCCCTTTGGCCGTCGCCATGTAACTTGGCTATTTTTGACATGTTTGACACCCAAAAAGATACACCATGATGCACCAAAAATCTGGTTCCATCATGGGTTAAAATGGAGCTCGAATGCGCCTGTTTTCTCCATATGCAACCATTCATTTTGGAGAACCGATGATTTTGAACCCCGGGTGAACCCTACCCATCTGCAATGGTGCTGTAGGGTGTCAAATCTTGGCGCTATGAGGTTGTGGGAAACATTGACAAAAGTGAACATCAATGTGACAATCAATCAATCAATCAATCAATGAATCAATGATAATCTATGGAAAGATGAAGGGAACAAAACATCATAAAACACAAGTTTCCATTGCAAATTCATCAAAATTTCATGGAAAATTGCATGGGCACAGCCCAGGCGCGCCAGGAACTTCCAAAGATGGTGTGACCATCGGCGAGTTTCAGCGGAGCAAAATCCGCTGGCTGTTTGGGAAGGGTTTGGCCAATCAGAACCCATAGAAATGGGTTTGTCTGAAAATAGGGTATATTCCCAATTATAGCCATTTAATAGGGATAATGATCATTAACCATTGGGTTTAGGGGTACACTATTTTCAGACACACCCAAATGGTGGTTTAAAGATGTGTAAACGGATTAAAACCACAAAACAGAAAGTTTTGCCACCAAACGATGGGACAGGGAGGCACTTGAAACTACGTTTTCGGATTGGTGAAGTATCGCAGTGAAGCCAAATGAATCCAGATTGATGTTGGCTAACATACAAAAGTTTGCCGTTAATCATTCCAAATTGAATTGGTTAATATTGCCATAGGGTTTCTGGTGAAATGTGTTTCAAACATCGCCAAACCCATGACATCCTGTCAGCATTTACAGGATCCTAGAATCTTGCAAGTGAGATGTTAAAAGAACGTTTTGTGATTCATCCATCCATTGAAACCTCAGTGTGGGTGCTCTCTCCGTTCGAACCAAAACCCTCATATACTGCCCACACAAGCCTCAATCCACTCATGACTCATGAGCCACTAAAATCCCTATCTATCTTATATATATATATCCCGAATAGCGGATATGAATATCCAATATCCCTGTTAAAGTATCCATGAATGTCCGTATTTACATATTCATCTTCCATACGAATTTGGATATTAATGGACACTGATAGGGAAATTTGATATTTATAGTGGATAGTTTTATTTCAATATCACCATGAAATATCCATGCATTGCAATATCCCATATCCTATATGTCATGAAAATATTGGGATCTATTCATCCATTGAAAATTCATGTGAAATCTCGATATCCCACATTGTTGTATTGTTTTATTGGAGATTTCAATAGGGATATCTTCCATTGGAACATCTTCAGCATCACAGAGAAATCTCAGGGGCGACATCCATGCAGCGAGTCGATGCAGGGAGCCATGGGCCGCAGCTATGGCTATGGCGCGGTGGAGAAGTTTGGCTCATGGGGATACCCTCCAGTAATTTACCCTCTAGTAAACATACAAAAAACTATGGAAAATCACCATTTATAGTGAGTTTGTCCATTAAAAATGGTGATTTTCCATAGTTATGTGAATGTTTACCAGAGGGTAAAATTTAAAATGCCAATCAAATTTCCCCGACGTCTCTGAGACGGTATTTCCCCATAGACGGTATTCGTCATAGTTGGCTCTACTGGGAAAATCACAATTTTCAATGGCCATTTTCAATGGCAAACTGTTAAATTACCAGAGGGTAGTTCGATGATTTACGATGGTATCTTTGCAGAGACAACTGAGACACTGCAGCACCCATGAGGTGCTGATGTGGCGGAGTCGGTGGGCGTCAAAATCCAAAGGCCAGTCTGGTCGGAGTAGTGATTTTCCCACTAGAAAACCCACTATTCATATAGTGACTTTTAACTATGGTAATATGGGAACTGCTGATTTTAATAAAACCCTAGGAACATACTGGTGATATAGTGGAATGGCCTGTTTTTTTTGGGTTGGTATAGAAGTGTCAACTTGGGGATTTGCTGCATAAATGAGATTTAATCGGGGATCCACAAGAATAGTCACCATCCTCAATAGTGGTGGTTTACTCTTGGGCATACCGCCACTTGGGCTGATTTATTTCATGGCCCCCAAATGGCTGAAAATTGATGATATCTGTAGAATGAGTAATGTTAACCATTCATAGTAATTTGAAGAAGATAGAAAAGTTCATCACCAGTAGAGTGGTGGAGGGGTAACTTTGCTGTTTTGGGGGGCCCCATCACATATGTGGATGTCCATCTCCCGATAGTTTGCTAAACCATGGTCTGATCCTTGGCCCCTGTTGGGGTGAATGGACAGATGCTGGGAGCCCAACAGCTGCCGAACTGCCTGCTGAGTTGGTTCTGTAGTTTTTGGTACACATCTGAATGCGAGTAATGAGAACCCAATCGCCACAAAAAAGTGTGCCATTTGTTCAACATATAGTGGTTGGTTGTGTTGCTTTTCGTCGAGCAAAACTTTGTGGCGCAACTGAATTGTGATTTATAGAAAAGTTCAAGACAATAAACGTATGTATCCAGCAAAACAAGAATCAGAAAGTGAAGATTTAGATGATTTAGCAAAACTAGATTATATCATGTCTAAAGACCGGAAAAACTCTGCAAAACACTCCCCAGCTGGTTCAATTCTTTAAGCGCCGACCCCTCGTCAGGCCTGAGTATCTTCAGCTTCTGAAGGCCGCTGGACGTTCGCCGATAATGCTGTGGGCCAGAACCAACGTAAAGCCTGAGGAAATTGGAGGATTTAATGTGAATTTAATGTGAATTAATGGAACAAGCTGGGGATTCTATGGTTTACCGGTTTACCCACCGAAATCAGGTGCGGTGATGTAATCTGATCAAAGAATATCTTGGATCCCTGAAAATGGGTTTGGTTAATGACCCGTCAGTGGAACAGTCAAAAAGTACCCAAGGGATCCCAAGTACCAAGAATTACGCCACGACGCATGCGGTGAAGCCATTGTCAAAGTGCAGCTACCAAAATCTGACCTTAATGGTGGTTGTGTGTTTCGTATGTGTTTCCACCAACCACAGTTGGAATAATGATTCCAACTGACCATGTGTAAATTCTTATGGGAATGAAGCCACCAGCAAGAATATGTTTACCCAGTTCTGTGCTTGCCATGTAGTCTCTTTACTTTCCCATTATGTCCATATATCATGGCTGGCTCAACCACCAAACAAAGCTCTCCCGGCCCGGCTATTGCTGCTGAAAACATCATTGTGTTGGCACAAAAAGAACTAATCAAACCAGATAAACCAGCATGGGCATCCTCATCCCAATTGAATCATGGCGTGTTCAACGTGTTTAACGTGGGAGGATCATCCCACGAATCGGCTGGGATAACCCCATCACTGGGATCCCTATCTCCATGGCTTATTGGGCGTCCACGATCTGCCGAGCTGACAGCACATGTTTGTGCATTCAAAGTTCATGGCCGCAAAAATATCGAACTATATGAAATAAAAGATGTCATGATTGACCCATTCCATCCCCCTTTTTTTGGGGATGGGTTTACAATCATTACAACTTATATCCCCAATAACAGCAATTAACCCCAATTATTGTTACAATTCCTAATATAACCCCAATTATAACCCCAACTATCTCTAATTAACCAACTATATGGGATGATTCCCTTCCCCATTTGTTGAACTCCAATGCCTCAGATCAGTCGCGAGGCCTGCGCCAAGAGTTCCGTAGAGAATCGTAGCGATCTGGCGGAGAAACTCGTGAGGTGCGCGCAGCACATGGGAAAATCATGGAGAAATTGGAAAAACATGGGCCAGTGATTGGAAAAAGGTAGGCCAGTTATAGACATTGGAAATGGGAAGGTCATCAAAAGTGATATGAATGGTGTTTGATCTTGTTTGATCACTGTGTGGATTAAGCCAGTGAGAAGGAGAAGGATGGGTTTGTTGCACCCTTTTTTCCCCGAGATGAGGATATGGCCAGCAGTTCTGGTGATGTCCAATGGGTCGAGGATGGGATGACCCTGGAAAACGCCACTAGGCAGATGATGTCCGATGGCAGGGAGCCCCAGGAAAGTGGCATAGCGGGGTACACAGGCTGTACCTCCAGGAATCTAAGTTGCTCAAAGAAACTCCTCATCATTGTGATGTCATTGTGATGTTGTGCTTGTCCAAAAGTTTGGAGTTTGTTAGTTTCCATTGAGTGTAGGTGACTGCGGTACCGGATGCATTTTCAGAGAGAGAGAGAGAGAGGTTGTGTTGGTTCACCAACATACCCTGTTATCGTAGGTGAATATCCGAATGTATTGCGGGTGAAACCCAAAAGGTGATTGGTCAAATCCTATGTAATCCCTCTCGTTTGAAAATGCCACTTCTTGTAGCTAAGCATTTAAGCATCCAACTGGGAATTCTTGTAGATTATAAAAATATATCCAAGTACATGCTTCAGAATGGTGGATGTTGATGTTTTTGGGTACCAAGTAGCTGAACCAACCAGTGGATCATTGTTAGTTTATATCCCCCCACCGTCTTCAACCATGGCGGAAAATCCCAAGTGTTTAATTTAACTCTGAAAACCTTGAATTTTGCACGATCTCGAATAGGATTTCGCATGGTGTTTGTGAACATGTTATTCTAACATCCCATGAGTTCTTCCATGTTGTTCCAGCCCCATTTTTCCTGTTTGGTTGAATCCCATTTTCCCCCAGAATTCTGTCGTTGTTTCCCACCATAGTAATGTTTGGGTAACCATGATGCTAAAAAACAATAGAAAACCTGGTTATTTAGCTTCCCAGTTTCCACAATGTTTTTCATTTTTTCCACCTGTTGGTATTCTGTTAGGAAGCAACCAAATAACCAGGCAACCAGGTTGCCTTCGAGGTTTGGTGCCAGACACCAATACCCTGAACTTGCTGGAGCCCTTGCTTGGCAGGCGGGATGATTTCCATGAACATCAGAATGGAGGTTTGACTTTGTAGCTGAGACTTTGAAAGGTGGCCAATTAACATATAGAGATTGTAAGAGGACTGATACCAACAAGAAATTGAAGAGTTTAAGGGGATTTGCCCAGCAAGAATGTGGATCTTTGGAAGTGTTGTTTTTAAGGGTGGGGAGAGACCTACGATGTTTGTTTTCTGTGAGGTCTGCAAAGCATTGAAAAGTGGATGGTGTCTCAAGAATGCGCAATTGACCATGCGCATTACTTAAGTAGTGTTAGAGGTTGATTGGGGACTCGTGCTGGCACTGTTAGTCAAGTAGTCATCCACCCGTTTTGATTCCAGTATATTCTAATGAAATAACTTGATGTTGTTGAATTCCCTATATTGTAGATCAACTAAATCAACAATCCATTCAATAACATTCAGCAGCTTATGGTTTCAAGTAGCTATCATATGCTATCATCATCTATACACACCTA